GGGCTCGGGAAGGAGCACCCCCCAGACTCCCCGCGCCCGCAGCCCTGCAGCCCCCCGGCTTTCCCGGGTCTCCAGCCCCAGTCCGGAGTTGGGCGCCACGCCGGCCAGCGTCTTCCGCACACCCCTACAGCTGGACCCGCAGCAGGAGCAGCAGCTGTTCCGGCGCCTGGAAGAGGAGTTCCTGGCCAATGCGCGTGCCCTTGAGGCTGTTGCTAGCGGGACCCCCACTGGACCGGCCCCTGACCCGGCCCGGGCCCCAGACCCTCCAGCTCCTGACTCAGCCTACTGCTCCTCCAGTTCCTCCTCGTCGTCCCTCAGCATCCTAGGTGGCAAGTGTGGCCATCCTGGGGACTCTGGCCGGACGGCCAATGGGCTGCCGGGGCCCCGCAGCCAAGCCCTGTCCAGCTCCTCTGATGAAGGCAGCCCCTGCCCTGGAATGGGGGGGCCGCTAGATGCACCTGGGAGCCCCTTGGCTGGCCCAGAACCCTCGAGGACCTGGGCACGGGGTCGGGTGGACACACAGCCTGACCGTAAGCCTTCCCGCATTCCCACGCCTCGGGGTCCCCGCCGCCCATCTGGACCCATGGAGCTCGGAGCCTGGCACGCCCTGCACTCCGTCGCCCCAAGGGCCGAGCCAGATTCCTGGATGTGATGGACCGGCCAAGCTGCCCCCAGACCCCATTCCTCCTCCTTTTCCTTTGTGGCCTTAACCCCGTCTGCATCAGGGAGCCCCCTCCGCCTCTTGAGTACCAGACCTCACGGGACCAGACCCCTTGGGACCACATGGCACAGTGGGACCACTGTTGAACATTCCGGTTGGGGGATGAGTGTTGCTATTTAATTACTAATATTATTGAATGCCTTAGAGGAGGCCGAGCCAGCTCGGTGTCCTGCGAACCTGTGGCCCAGCAGAGCCTCTGACAGTAAAAGTTTGCTCCAGCCATCTGTCTGTTTCTTGGGGACGTCGCGCCCTTTTGAGGGTTCTTATGACATGTTGGAATTCTGGAGTCAACTGCCAGGAGGCCAGGCCTGGCAGTTCCGACCTCTAGGCTTAAGGTTCAATCCTACCCAACCCGGAATTCCCAGGTGCAGGCAAATTATTTTTTCCTTTTATTACCCAGCGAGAGGTGTGGCGTAAAGTGTGTCCAGTGCAGCTCTGGGAGCAGTCTGAGAGTGTCCAACCAGGTTCATAGCCAAGGCCTTTCCATCCAATGAGATTGGGACCCAGAAGGGACTGATCTTGTCCAATGGGCCTGGGACCTGGCTGGGCCCAGTGAGGTTCAAAGAGGGGCCTGTCGCCCAGGGGACTGGGTGGGAGCGGTCCTCATCCAATCCGGGAGGAGACTGTCCAGTCCTAGAGGAGTCGGGCAGTCCAATCCGGGCTCCTGGTAGCGCCCGGCCCAACCGGGTACCCATCGGCGGCGGCGGCGGCGGCGGCGTCCAGTCCAGTCC